AATTGGTAATATACACTGACATCAACTTCTCGCTGGCCGAGTAGCTGATAGAGTGTAAACTATCAAATTTAGAATCAATTCGAATCAGGTTGAATTAGGCTCTTCAAATCCGAGTCCTATCAAAACCTGAATCAATAATAATAATTAATTCCCTTACAGCTGAGTTAAAATTCCTTACAACAAATTAAGATATTTCTGATGAAATCTAAGAGCTCTCTGACTCTGCATAGACAACAACGCAACTGAAATGTTCCCAAGCCCAGAAATGTAGCAAGGAGATCTTTAAAATCATTCATCAGTGGTTCATCCACAGTTATACGAAGCTACGAAAATACTTTTTGTGCGCAAAAGAAAAAAAGTAACGACTTTATTCAACAATTCATCTCCTCTGCGTCACCCTGTAGCGCCATTTTGGAGAATATCTGCTGGACGTAAACAGCGTATGCTGTTCTGTGTCAGCTGCGTCACGCCGGATCTGTTTCCTACATTGTTATGATTTGATCTGAACGAAAACAGTGTATCCGTGTGACGCAGCTGACACAGAACAGCATACGCTGTTTACGTCCAGCAGATATTCTCCAAAATGGCGCTACAGGGTGACGCAGAGGAGATGAATTGTTGAATAAAGTCGTTACTTTTTTTCTTTTGCGCACAAAAAGTATTTTCGTCGCTTCGTATAACTGTGGATGAACCACTGATGAATGATTTTAAAGATCTCCTTGCTACATTTCTGGGCTTGGGAACATTTCAGTTGCGTTGTTGTCTATGCAGAGTCAGAGAGCTCTTAGATTTCATCAGAAATATCTTAATTTGTTGTAAGGAATTTTAACTCAGCTGTAAGGGAATTAATTATTATTATTGATTCAGGTTTTGATAGGACTCGGATTTGAAGAGCCTAATTCAACCTGATTCGAATTGATTCTAAATTTGATAGTTTACACTCTATCAGCTACTCGGCCAGCGAGAAGTTGATGTCAGTGTATATTACCAATTGAATATGTAAATTTTGTATTCTCCCTGGCCACGGGTGAAATACAATTATTACAATAATTTGTCAGCTCTTAAGAGAGGTAATTATTATGAGTAAGCTACGAGCTAGGCAGCAAGCAAGGGATCTTTTTGGCAATAGATTTAACCTTGAAATTATATGACACCAGACAATCGATTATTTATAAATGAAACATGAAATTTATTGGCTATTCTAGATTACATAAACTTAAGCTAAAACACACATACAGTTTCAGAGGAAGGAAATTCTGTTAACGGAGTTCTGAGTTTCATAGTTCTACCTCGTTTTCACAAGCGATGTAAATTCACCTCAAGAATTCCCAAAGCAGTGAATCTAAATTCACCAGCTCAACAGATCGAAGATCTTGTTTGTACTTGCGTTTTGCTGGTTGACAGCTGGAAAGCTGAGGTGATTCCTTCGCTGACGCGGGCTTCCTGGATGAAACCAGGGAAACCTTTCCTTGGGAAACCCCTCGTTGGTCTGTGATGAAGCAGAGGCGTGAGCAGTTCTGCTGAAAGTCTTAGTTTGCACGACTTTCAGTTCTTTGAAGATTTCAACGAAGTATTACTGAAGTGTTTGAGTTTGAGATGTGGTAGTCGCTTTTGATGGTAAGCGCGTGAGCACACGTGGGGTGCTCTAACACAGCGACAGGCGAGAGCAGGAGAAGCAGCAAGGAAGCTAGTCTGTCATGCGTTGGGTTTTTGTTCTGTGGCATAAGTCCGTCCCCTGACGCTATCTTCCAATCGACTTCTTGCGGGGCGGAGCGTGCATACATTAACAAGAGGCTTTAATTCATCACATGAGGACACCATCTATAAAAGTTGTGTTAATACTCCTATAAAGTCTCTTAAAAGCAAGTATTGTACATACTATTAAAGTTTACTTAATTTCAACCTTCTGCATTTCTGGTTTCCATTCGTTCAAGATTAAACTTCACACATTACACACATGTTAATATCCTCATTTTCTAAAAAGGGGTAATTAAACACTGGTTAAAGTTGCACCGATTACATGAAACACGTCAAGCATATATATAGTCCAAACTCGGTCCTGGAGGGCCGGTGTCCTGCAGAGTTTAGCTCCAACTTGCCTCAACACACTGGACTGGAAGTTTCTAGTATGCCTAGTAAGAGCTTGATTAGCTGGTTCAGGTGTGTTTAATTAGGATTGGAGCTAAACTCTGCAGGACACCGGCCCTCCAGGACCGAGTTTGGACAGCCCTGATTTAAACCATTCAATTCATGTCTTTTTATACTTTTTAATATGTGTGAATATTTTGGTTTGTGTGGACTTTCAGTGGATGGACTGACATTTGAGAGAATATTAAAAAGATCACCTTTTGTGATTCTAAAATGAACTAAAGTGGGTTTGGAAATGTCACAATAGTGAGTATATGGTGAAAGAACTGTTATTTTGATTTAACAATTGTCCTCAAATTTAATTGTCATAATAGCGTTCCAAGAGTGCAGCTACAGTCCAAAGGCACTTTTTTTTTACTCCTTTAGAAAAAAAAGTACCTACTAGAAAGTATGTGATTTCGGTTGCAGCTGTTGTTTTTTTTATGAACGAGTCATTGGATCCTTCACTCAACCAGTTCACTCCAAACATCAATGCATTCAGCAGCAGCACTACTTTGTGTTGCTCAGTGTTTCAGCATCAGAATGGCTGTGATTATCTACATATAAGCATATATATGACGTGATGTTAAATTTCATGCAATGGTCGTTTGTTTCAGCTTTAAAAATCCTCACATCAGCTGCTGCAATTGCCAGTAGCGTTGCCATGTACCACCGCAGCATGCGTATTTATCTTCCTGAAAAACACAAGATGAGTTGGATCTCCACTGGCATCTACTTCCTGTGGAACTTGTTGGTGATTATTCCCCGTGTAACTGCTCTGGCACTCTTCTGCAGTGTATTGCCATGCTACATCATAGCTCACTTTCTGTCCTTGTGGATGCTGCTGGTTTTAGTCGCCTGGAGCCAGAAAACCGATTACATGGAACATCGTGGTTGGGAATGGCTCTTCAGAGCTGCTGTTGGACTCATCTGGTACTTCTGCTGGTTTAATATAACAAGAAAACGCATCAAATTAAAGATGGTTCTGTATTATATTTTCATGGCTGTGGACACAGTGATGCTGCTGGGCTTCTGGTGCTGGATGGTGTTTGAGTATGCAGGCTGCTGGAGCTCCTTAAATCCTTATGTGGTGATCCCGACACTACTAGGCTTGTACGTCATTGGAATACTAGTGAAAATGATATACTACAGATGCTTTCATCCCAACGGTGATAGAGAGAAAATCACTGAACCCACTGAAGGGAAGTACAGACGAGCTGCAGCATATGACATGGACACAGACTTGACCCCAGAAGATGCAGCTGCAGCTCCTGCGCAGCCTCTCACTGGAGTCCTCAAGAGGAGCAGGACCATGGCTGCTAATTTCTACTTCTAGCTTTTGGTTGAACTTTTAAAGTTTAATTTATACAGAGAGAATACCTGGTTTTGGTGGAAATAACTTTGACAAAAATAGAAACTTGAACTTATTTGTCTGAAAAAAATAAAAGCATTTTCTAATGTTATGTTCAAATATCTGATGGTGTTCTGATGATGTTATTACAATCACACAAATTTCACAGATCTGTTTTGGTGGCTTTAGAAAAGCACAGACAAATGTATTCCAGTTGTTCTGTTCGTTCCAACTCTTCGCTAATTAAGTGTCAAAAGGGATGACAAGTCTACATTACAACTGAAATGAAAAGAGTTTGGGTTTAAATGTGTCCTGGAGATGTTTTCATTCACACAATTATGAGTAAGAGATGAACAAGCCAAGCAGGTAGGCCAGCCTCAAAGTATTTATTGAACGTCACTTACACAAAACCATAAACAGCGTAGGTACAGATATTTGCTTCTTCAGCCAGTTTCAATAAGCCAGAAGTTCTCCTACCGATCTAAAAGCTCAAGCTCAGGGCTAGATCGAGCATTTATTCTCTGGCTAAAAGAGCCATTACATCCCTTGATTGTCTATGCATTAGTAACAAATCCCAAGATCTCACAATGATAGTGTCATGTACCTTCAGTTCATGTAGATAATAGACAGTATACAGGGACTAAATCATTTTTTTCCCTGAAAAATGCAGGAAACAAAGTAGGACATAGGGGGAAAAAAGCACCAGAAGAATAGTTTTTATGATTCAAGTTAAAGAAGAACAGCATCTGATCGGCTGAGCTATGTCGATTTCTGCAGAAAAGAAGTCAGAGCACATCAAAAGTACCAAACTAAAAGAAAACAACAGATAACAGCATAGGCCTACGAGTCAAAGGTAATGCTTCACGAGAAAAACAAACAATACAAACATATGTTTGTCATATTGCAAATGTGTCATATTTCAGTAATTCCCTTTTAAGATAATACACTTACTGATTGTTGATTATAGTTAAAAGGCACAATATAAATATATACAGGAAAAAAAACACACACAGACACACACATCTATGCAAACAAATGAAGAGTACACATTCTTAATTGTCAAAGCTGCTTGAGTAAAAATGCTTTTTCTTCAGGCTCAGTAATGTTCAGTCAAAATCTCGCAGCGGTTAGGAATATTACACCCAAACCTGCTCGTAAAACCACCTTCAACCAAAACTGAAAATCAATTATCACTGACCAGAAATGTATTGCACACCATCACACAGTTTTTCTCCCAAACGTGTACAAACGAAAGAAAACGGTCACAGGCTGGGGCCCTGTAGCTTCAAATCCATGGGGAATTTTGGCTATATGCAAGAGGTCATTTTACAAAATCCCACTCAGCCATGTGACTTTCCTCAGGGGACGAGAATTCAGTTAGTTCATGCGGCTCATAATTGCATTATAGACATTTAACATGGGACAGTATCAATCCAGGAGCCTATGTTCCCCTCAAAACATCACCTTGATATGGATTTTTAAAGAAATGGCTCAACCAAAAATAAAAAAAAGTAATCGTTTTGTTGATTCAAACCCATAAAACTCAACTTTCTTAACACAAAAATGCTGCTCTTTTCCATACAGTAAAACGTGAGTAGAGACAGGTTGCTGAGATCCAACAGTTTTCTGAAATCATCAAAACACTAATAACCGAGTTAGACTTTAGAGCTAAACAAAGGGGAAGACTGTTTGTAAACCATTTAAATTTAGGTCTGTACTCATTCTGACTTCCATCAGATAACACACACTAGATGTATTTGACTTATGGTGATTTTTGGAGTTTGACGTCCACTTTTCCATTCAAATTTCATTGTATGGAACAGAGCAGTGTGGACATCGGAACTAAAGTAACAAATAATTTGAATTCTCATTTTTGGGCGATTTATTCTTTTAAAGAAAAAGAGGGACAAACTGTACAAAAACAAATGGTTTCCATTAGGCACTCTGTAATTCGTCATATTGCCTAATTTAAAGCAGAAATGTTGAAGTGTGTATGAAGAGTAAACGAAAGTAGATCCCAGGGACTGAGGAATATTTAGGAAAATCCATAGATACAGGAAAAGTGGGATCTATGCTAACCTTGTTGGTACCATCTGTACACATATTAAACAGGCCATGTCTGTGATCCGTCTTAAGAACTGAAATAATCGCATCATTTCTTGGAGGCTTCTAAAGCATGTAACCTGCCATCTAATAAGAACCTGACCTTTGGAATGAGTGCAAATCAAAATGACTCCAACTTACTTTTCAGCCCTTTAGAAAGAATGCAGAAAAAGACTTAAACTATGTTTAGTTTCTTAACTAAGTTTCTGTGCCAGTGCAGTCCTTTGGTCATGGGTTGTTTCTTTTGGTGAAACCAGTTATGTTGAAGATGGTAAAGTACATCCTTTTTCCAAGAGAAAGATGCAGTGAGAATGGGAGACAGTTTTTTCCCTCTTTTCCTTGTGTACGGTTGTGTGGCGTCCCAGTGCAAGAGTCAACCTAAGGCGAGGATAGCTGCCATTGAGGGAATGGAGGGCTTGTGAGGTCGTGTCACAGACCGTCTTGAGTTCTTGTCTGTGACCGCTAACGTCCCAGAGTCTACGTCAGCTGCTCCACCGCTGCGCTGGATCAGGTTAGGGGTGGGTGGGATTGCTGATGGGTGCAGCTGGAGAGATCCACGTCTTACCTCCAGCTCCATCTATAAGAAGTCCAGTTCCAGAGCTTGGTGAAGGGAAATCAGGTCTCCGTGAGACGAGATTCGCCAAAACGGCATGTTGTGCTAAAGAGTGATGGTGCACACAGATTAGATCAAACATACACAGATCAATAAAGAGAACTTTCAATGAAAATGTAAATCAATAGAATAAAGCAACATTTGTGAACCTTTTCGTCAGGCCTATTCAAATTGGAGAGTTTGAACGTTACTAAATGCGCTAGCTTTTAAAAGTTTGCGGTCAGTAATAGGGCTGGGTTTTGACACAAATTTCACGATTCAATTCGATTCTCATTCACAAGCTTGCGATTCAATTCGATTACCGATTCGATTCAATATCGATTATTTTGGATATATATCTGGTACACATGCCAAATTTTCTCAAGGAAAAAAAAAATCTCGCAACTAATGCTGTAAAATATACATGAGAGTCATTTGGTACTACATTACTATAATATTGAAACACTGATTGAGCGATTACTTGAGACAGGATAAGGATTGTAATGTTGTACTCTTTCTTTTAACTTGCCTTCGGATATTTAGTCATGTTTATTTTGTGCTGAAACTGGTATTAATGTGGAGGAGATGATTAGTTCACGTGTGCCTCGCGCTGCCGCGTCTGTTGAATGGAGGCGCTACAGCGATCTGTCACTCCACATTAAAACAGCGCCAAAACGGCATTTATTGTTTGTATACTGCAATACAATGGACAGAATTTGAAATCTGAGACTTTGTTTCATATTAACAGTACCAAAGCACAATGCGTATTGCGATTTATTGGATGGGAAGTACCCTTCAATGTTCCGTCGATTAACTGAAAACCGGCTAGAATAATCGATTCTTGGGATTTAAGAATCGATATCATTCTGTAAAAATGAGAATCAATTAATATCGAGATATCGATATTTTTTACCCAGCCCTAGTCAGTAAGGAATTTCTATTCTTCTATTTCTAAGTAAGAAATTAATACTTTTGTTCTGCAAGGAGGAATGGAATTAATCAAAAGTGACAGTTAAGACATTTATAATGTTAGAAAAAGATTTATATTTTTAATAAATGCTGTTCTTTTGAACTTTATATTCATCAAGGATTCTTGGAAAAAGAAGTACCACAGTTTCCACAAAAATAATATGCAGCAAATCAGAAGACTGGAGTAATGATGCTGAAAATTCAGCTTTATCATCACAGAAATAAATCTAATAGAAAAAGTTAATTTAAATGGCAATAATATTTCACAATATAACTGTTTTACTGTATTTTGGATCAAATAAATGCAGCAAAAGAGACTTCTTTCAAAAACATTTTACTCATGTTTTCTTAATGTTAGTGTATCTTGTGTAAATAATTTAGATCATAAAGTTTGGGAACCCCTGAATAGCAGTATCATCAGGAATATTTTGCAATGGCATAATAGGAGGTATTATATGGTGATACGATCACATTGATAGGGGTATACAATGTCCAAATGCTGGTATTGAGATTGTACCTGCTTTGCTGCAAACTCTTCATCACGACCGTCCCCGATAACAACATAGGTCACTTTCTTCCCAAAGCGAGAGATGATGCGCTCAAAGCAGCTCTCTTTTCCTGTTAACAGCAGTTACAGATCATGTGTTACACATAACAGGTACATTTATCCTGGTGCTCAGTTTCAGGTTGATACCAATGGTTTTAAAACAAGAGTTCACCCAAAAATGAACATACTGTCATCATTTATTAACCCTCATGACATTCAAAACCATACATTTTATACTGTGGAACACAAGGTGAATTCCAAAGAACATCCTGATAAAGTCCTCTGAAGCCATATGATTTCTTATGGTCTTTAGTAGAGTTGAAACAATTAGTCGACATAAAAAAAAGAAAAGATTGTCGACAAATATTTTTGTTGTTGAAGAGTTGTTTGATCCTATATGACCTAATGTAAGGGCCTGCATTAATGTGGTTTGACCAGTGTGGCGCTGTAGAGCAAGATTGTAATTCAGCATCTCCCACATGCAGTCCAATAGAATAAGACACGCTTATGAGAAGTGCAAACAAAGTCGAGCCAGCAGATTGTGGGAAAGTTTTACAAAACTACAAACAAAAAATGCTGTCATGTGTAAAGACCCCAATATACTCACGGCAAAATGTTTTTCTCTCTCTTCGGTTAAAGGTAAAAAGAAGTTTGAACAGTACACGGTTAACAAATATCCTGATGCTGCTGAATGACATTTAGATGAACATGCAAATATGTGCTCTACTCTGTTTACTCTCAATAACAAACTAAACACACAACGAAAATGACAGCGGTGAGAAAGCAGCAGTTAAGAAAGCATATGTTCATAGAGATGTGGATGTTTGCACAAGGTCTGCAATCGGCACTCCAGTAAACTCACATTGCGTTTATTTATATAACACTTTAGGGATGTAACGGTTATCAGAATTATCTAGGGTTGGGAATCGAAAATCGATTCCGATTCCAGAATCGGATACTTGTTGTCAAATTAAAAGTTTGTTTCCGCCTATCGATTCCTATGTGCTTTTTGTTTTTCTTCATCTGTGAGGACCGGACCTAGCGATCTGCCAGGACCTTGCTCGCTAATCTAAGCACTCCAAAGTTTGCCTACATTTGCGATCAGAAGCCTAAAAAAAGCTAAGTATAATATCTGTGATAGCTAAACACAGATATTGACACATATTGACCACCAACATGACAAAGCACTTTCATTTAATAGATTAAAGATCGCAAATACGATTCAAACACCAACGTGATTCTATTCCTAATTTACAATGATTCGTCTGTTTCATTCCTCAAACTTTGACGCGTGCGATCAATGTTGTGATCACTTATTGGTTCGTCCGTGCAGAGTACGATCACACCAGTGTGATTTGAACATTTAAATTTGTGTTCGTGCTGCCATTGACCTAAAGAGAGCAGCTGTCATCTGTCATGAATGAAGTCTTTTCAGCCACACAGTATTATTATTTTGGTGTTACAAACACTCAAATCACAGAAGTACTGGGATAAGTTTATAGTTCAGATATAAACTGTGTGTAGGATGTGTATGGTAGCGATTCAAATAGAATAAATCACCTTTTGAAAATAATTTTACACTTCAAATGAAGATTTATCAATTACATTGTTATGCCAGTAGGTGGCGAAAAGGGGCTGTTAAAATGTATTTGTCTTTGAATCACAAGAGATGCGTTCTTGAGTGAGTCATTTAATCAATTCATAAATTACATGTGATTTTGTTTAATTGTCTAATATGTTTTCTTCAGAATCATGAGAGAACCACAACTTCCATTGGGGAAAAAAAAATCTAAATTTATCCAGAATCGTGCAGTTCTATTTTGCACACAAACAGCTCTTACAGAGTCCAGTTTTTATGTAGCCTATTGATTTTTGTTTATGGTATTCAGCGCCAATAAATGGTTTGCAAAAAAGAGACAAAGGATAAATGTTTGATATCATTATTTAATCACATCTGGGAATCGAAAAGAATCGGAATCGATAAGCAGAATCAGAATCGATAAAATTCGAAACGATACCCAACCCTAGTATTATCACGGTATTGTTAAAATGTGCTGGAGATGTTCAAAAAGTACCGACACATAAATCACTTCAAGTTTTATATCTAAAAATCAACAAACAACAAATAAAATGACTTTTTGTTTTCATAACTAAAACAATAACATTACCCATGATGCTCGGATTTTAAATGACAACTTGACTGACAACAGTTTAATAGGCATAAATCACTTCAAGTTTTAGATCTAAAAATCAACAAACAACAAATAAAATGACTTTTTGTTTTCATAATAACTAAAACAATAACATTACCCATGATGCTCGGATTTTAAATGACAACTTGACTGACAACAGATATGAAAACAAATGCCATCGAATCGTTTCTGAAGACAGTCAGAACCTTCAGAGGTACATTCATATATTCATTTGTATAATTCTCTTAGCACTCTTTTAAAACCTCCCATCTTTTCCACCCTGTTTTCACACAAAACGAAACTACTCTGCATGCTGTGCGCACGTGAGACTGTTACTGAAAACTGTGATTTATGCTGGACAGTATTTATTTATCGCGAGTTGTTCAAACCGTTAATCGTTACATCGCTATAACACTTTATACAAAAGCAAGTAGCATTATAGTATTAAACATGACGTAATAGCGTCAGTGTTGCATTCAGTTAGAATTACAACTCAGTATGTTTCATGAATTGTAAAAGCTGAATAATCAATCAAAGCCCACTGATTAATAGATGAAAATCTACGAATCGAAATCAAGATAATTGTTGGTTGCAGCCCTAGTCTTTAGTCATGCCTAATTTTCACAACCCATGTATTCCAAAGGTTTTCTTTATCAAATGAAAATTTAAGGAAAGGTTTATTTTAGGTTTTGACAGCTAGTTAGTTTGTCATATTTTTGCAGCCCCTGGTCACTGTATAGGAAACAGCACTGGGAACACTCTCTCCTTTTGTGGGAAAAATTCTCCTTTTGTGTTCTGCATAACATCTGGCTTTGGAATGACATGAGGGTGAGCAAATGTTTAAAATTTTATTTTTGATAAACCAAACCCTTACCTATTTTAGTGGCGCTGTAGATATTCTCGATGGGAAAAACGTCACCCAGGCCATAGAGAAGCACTTTAGCTAATGCAGGAACCAGCTGAGTGGTGGTGACCAGAACATTCATGCATCTGCCCCTGTGAACAAACACCAAAACAATCAGTCCTTTGTTAGTGTGTACACTACATTAAAGCTGAAGGAGAAACCTGTTTGGCGTGTTGCTCCAGCACATCACACACAATGTTTAATGCCTAAAGGCAGATCTGATGATTTCCTCTAAATCATGCACGCTCAGGGAACAGAGGCAGATCTCACCTCGACTGAATGAGCAAGAGAGATTTGAGGGCAGTGCTCAGCCAGGCATCTGTAACAGTCTCAATCTCAGAGCACAGCCTGAGCAGTAGGTCTCTCTTCATTGGGCTCAGCAGACCTGCAAGGACAGCAGATGAGGCTGGCATTAAATGACATTATATATTAGGCTTGTTGATAAGCAGTAATTTAAAGATACTGCTGGACCTGGTCTGTATAGCTAGTTTATCCATGCAACACAACTAGCAGCAATGTTCAATGTTCAGCAACGACAAAATTCCAGATGTAGATTCTGTGGTTCATTCCTCACTGTTGGTTTTGACTCTTTTTCAATATCATTTTTTTTAAAGACCAGAGGAACATGTTCACCTAATGTTGTTGCGGGAACATGATATGATTCCTTTTTTAAAACTTCCTTAGTATTCATTGATTATTATCAGCATCTCTTCATTATCTCTTCTTGCCATCTGAAGCAGCACTATTATGGACCACAGAACAAGCCAGTTTCATCCTTTATTAGATAAAAGCGTCTGCTAAATGACAATGCAAATCATTGAGTTTATAATAGTTTATTCATTTTTTATAGTTTAGACACCTAGTATAAATCCACATTTGTGCATCAGTGCCTATATTGTATGTTTTAGATGCAAAACGTCATTGTAGGAAACGTGTCCAAAACAGGCCAATAAATATTTGTCATTCATATTCCACATGCAGGATCACAGAATGAAACAGTGATGACAAAAAACTTAAGTAAATGAAAGGTATTATTTAGCAATATGCTAAATTCAGGATTTAAGATTCAGTGACAAGCATTTATTTGAAGTAGAAATATTTTGTAACATTATAAATGTCTTTACATAAATGTAACAGAAATATGTGTGTTTTGAGACGTTATTGAAAAGCAATTTGCTAGTGTAAGTTGTAACATTGCTGGAAAACTCGTCATAAAGTCTGACTTGGTTTCATTACCTCAAGTCCTGCCCATTGTCATCTGAGACAACATCATCAACATGGACCTGATCACATTCCTGTGTTGACAGGAGGGGTGAATGTTATTTACATGAACATAAAGCAAACTGAACCTTGTGTTACACTTTGCTTACCTCCAGATCGTTGAAGAAGAGATGAGTGTCTGCAAGCTCAAAGATCAGCTCCTCCATCTGAAGACCCAGATTGAGAACTGTCGCTGGATCCTGAAAAAACAAAAGCATCCCAGGAAACAGCAAGAATGTGAGAATGGGGGGCAAAAAAATCAAGCAGGCATTACTTCTGCCAGTGTGTAAAAGAAATTTACTGTACCTTGCCAAACTTCTGTGCAAATGAGCCGGTAAGAAGAGAGTGGAAAATGATGATGGTTTCATCCAGATCCCACAAGAAGACACGCTGAGAAAAGAAAGAGTTCCTTATGTTTGTTACAACTGGCCCAATGCATTATGCTCATCTAATAATGCATTACTCTACTCTCCATTTTAACATTCAGCAAAATAAAAAAAATTGTAAAGATGACTCGGTTTAGTTGAGCAAGCTCAGCTTAATGCATTTTTTCTTTGTGTCTGCATTTGTATACTTTTTTGGACTTAAGAGTGTTGCTTAAACTATCTAGGTTGCTTCCTTACCTCAAGGTCATTGTCTGTGGATTGGGAACCATCAGATTTTTTAGCTTTGCCTTTAGCTTTGCCAGGAGGGTTTTTGCGGTTGGTCTCGTCTTGGTCCCCTCCTCCTGTGGGGACGGCCATCCCAGCAGGCAGAGCCACACCTGTTGGGATCGTCACACCTGGGGTTGCATCTGATGGAATGAGCAAAAACATTAACTCCAGTGAGAGCTAGAAGAGTGAGGGGCATCCACAGTAACAACAACATAATCTAGTCCAGGACAGGGCAACAATTTTCCTCCCAGTTACTATTAAACTCTTACTATTGAAACAATTAATACAAAAATTAATTATATGAATTATATCTGAATTACGTCTTAAATTAAACCAAATGCATTTTAATATAGTAATATTTACATTTTTTTGTATAATTTATGATAGCAGTATAATATATACACTATCATTCTAAAGTCTGTGGTCAGTAAGATTTTAAAATGTTTTTGAAAAAGTCTCTTGTGCTCACCAAGGCTGCATACATTTATTCAAAATATAGTTTAAAAAGAAAGAAACATTATTACAATATTTAAAATAACTTTTCTATTGTAATATATTTATTCCTGTGATGCAGAGCTGAATTTTCAGCAGCCATTACTCCAGTCTTCAGAAATCATTCTAATATACGTTTTGCTGCTCAAGAAACATTTCTTATTACAGACATTGAAAATAGTTGTGATGCTTAATATTTTTGTGGAAACATTTTTGTCAGGATTCTTTGATGAATAGAAAGCTAAAAACTGCATTCATTTGAAATAGAAATTGTAACATTTTTAACAGAAATTGTAACGTCTTTACTGTGATTTTTGGTACATTTAACGTGCTTTGCTACAAAGAAAAAAAAATCCTGACCACTAACTTTTGCATGGTAGTGTGTGGCTTTATATGAAATTTCATTTCTTTTATTCAAATTTTAGCTGTGAAAACAAACAATTTTAAGCCATTTACAGTAGGTGGGAAAATGCTAGTACTAATAATATTCACAAAGTTCTAAATAAGTGAGAAGGTTTATTGTGAAGTTACAGAGGGATAATGCTAACACACCTGTTGTGTTGGGCAGGTTTGCTGAAGCACTGCCTTCAGTTTTAATGGCTGGATATTCAGGTGCCACTACACCTGCTCCATCTCGATCACTGCTGGGCAACCCAGCCGACAGGTAACTGGGAGGAGGAACATAGTACTGCGAGAACTGACTCTGACCAAGAGAGTTGTAACTTGAAAACTCCTGGAGTGAAACAAATTAAGATTAAGAAGTTGAAATTGTTCATCAAAGCAATCTGACTGTTTCAAGCTGTCCTTTCTATCTGCCATACATCCTAGTCTTTTACAATTTACTGGTCGAGATATAAAAGAACTGGTTGAAATTTAAGAATCTTTTCTTTTTCATGTTTCTGAATCACCTTTCCATAAGAAAATAGCATATCATAACATATATCACTATCAAGAACATGATGATGTTGTTGTATTTTTGCTCATATCAGAGTTCAAAGTCTGTAGAATTCAATCTAATTCAAAAGCAGAGAACAACATCCTCATATTAGTAATGTCATCCTTTCAAATACTGACTGACTTCCTCTTTTGACTGCAGGTGGACTCACTTGATGTGTGCCAGTAGTTGTGGTCACAGAAGTTGCTGGAGGGATGTTGGCGTACACACTGGATGTAGTGAAACAGGAACCTGATTGCGGGATGAAGAACAATTATACAGAATGTCGAACAACCGAAAAGTACAATCATGGTAAGTATTACTGAATGAAATGCTGTATGAGCATTAAAGGAACACTCCACTATTTTTGAAAATAGGCTAATTTCCCAACTCCCCTAGAGTTAAACAGTTGAGTTTTACCGTTTTCTAATCCATTCAGTCGATCTCCGGGTCTGGCAGTGGTTTTGGCAGGTCTTTCTCCTTAGCGGTCCCGTATTGCTAAGGCTGTGAGGTGCAGAGAGCGTGTGGAGACACACAGAGAGAGAGAGAGAGCGGTAGCAGGCTTGCCTTGGCTGGGGTAGGAGTAGTGGATCTGGTTGGGTTGGGTTGAGGTATAGGCTGAGCTGAAGCTGAGAAACCCCGTCTGACCAACAGAGGGCGCTTCGGGCAGCCGCGACTCTGTCTTTAAGCCCGGCCACATGGCGCCTGAGGCCGTGCATGGATAGATAGAGCGGGAGAGGGCAAAGGGTGGAGGAGAGAAGGGATGCAGAGATGAAAGAGGTGATTAGAGGGAGGTTAAGAACAGGATGTAACATTGAGACATGAACTGTTCTGACTGCCAGCGTACAGAGGGAATGCAGGGTGAGGGTTAAGTGGAATGAGTTTGGGTGAAGTGTTCAGAAGAACTAAAGCACAGACGGCAACTGGGTGAAGCACAGACCAAATGGTGGCAGTCCGTACGTCTGGCCGGACTGAGGAAAGCTGCTGTATACGGTCGACTGGCCCAGGGAAGGGAAAGCCACTTGACTGGCATATGCAGTGACAGCGGTGCTGAAGAATAATGGAGGAGAGTTACTAGCTGAACATTCAATAACACCGCTGAACTTAGGGAGACTGCTATAGACTTAGTCTAGTCTGGGTAAGATGCCATATTTACTTTGACTTGAACAAATAAAGGTGTAGTCCATACTACGAAAGATCTTTGATATTTAGTATGATCTTAAAGTTAACATGAATTCAAAACTGCTACTCTTTAATATACGTTTCCAGTCTCATGAATTTATCGGAGTATGTTATTTGAAAGGAAAAAATGTTTGGCTTCACAGTGTAATTGACTTAACTCAGCTAATTTTCATGTGTTTAACGCAGAAAATTTGCTTTCAATATTTCATATATATATATATATATATATATATATATATATATATATATATATATATATATATATATATATATATATATATTTATATATTTATATGAGAGTTACTAGCTGAACATTCAATAACACCGCTGAACTTAGGGAGACTGCTATAGACTTAGTCTAGTCTGGGTAAGATGCCATATTTACTTTGACTTGAACAAATAAAGGTGTAGTCCATACTACGAAAGATCTTTGATATTTAGTATGATCTTAAAGTTAACATGAATTCAAAACTGCTACTCTTTAATATACGTTTCCAGTCTCATGAATTTATCGGAGTATGTTATTTGAAAGGAAAAAATGTTTGGCTTCACAGTGTAATTGACTTAACTCAGCTAATTTTCATGTGTTTAACGCAGAAAATTTGCTTTCAATATTTCATATATATATATATATATATATATATATATATATATTTATATTTTCACATACATATATATATTAGTGCTGTCAATCGATTAAACATTTTTTACTAATTAATCACACGTTTTTCTGAAATTAATCGCGATTAATCCCACCTAACATTAAAGTTTTTAAATATACTTTTATATTGCAATAATTTTACATTCAATCTTCAAATTAATGTACAAACAACATAAAGACAGCATATTTTTAATATTTGTTTAATGGCATTTTTTTATAACTGAAGGTCAGTATCACTGAGTAATAGGCTACTGATGTCACTATAAAATTGTTTTTCCCCCTAATATTTAACCATTGACTATAGCCACTCAACATTACAGTATTATTGAGAGCTATCAATTTTAACATTTATTAGACTTTAAAAAGTAACATATACATATATATATATATAAAATAAAACTACAAATTATTATATACAATAAAATTAGACATAATACATTTCAAATCCAAACCACATCATGTACTGAAACAACATTTATTAATGTATTATGCAAATACACATTAAGACCAGGAGTGTGTATTAAACAAGCAAACAGGGTCATAGATCCCATATCGACTTTATTTTAAAAGATACTAGCCCGTTTTAAAACAACTTTTAGTACTTACTTGCTTCCTTGGTAGATCTGTGAGGTATATTCAGTGGCTGTGGTTGTGGTGAGGTCTTTGCACGTTACTGCTTTTACAAAAGTAGGATGTTTTGTTACAAATGTATTACGCTTTAAATATATGTGAGCATGACAGCAATAAGCCTTACCATTGTGGTCATATGCATTTTCTGAGTCACAGCCCTGGGATCTTGATATTGACCGGTCTGGACCTCCAGGAACTGCCGGAGACATTGAGGGGTTACATTATGTTTACACATCACAAAAACATGTAGGGACACTACAGTCTTTTGAAAAAATATCCAATATCTACTTAAAATAACATAAAAAGTGTTTCAATCAGAGGAACTATCAATTCAACAAGAGACTAATAACTGCAAAGTATATTTAAATTGTGTTATACAAGTTAAAAAAGTAAAAATTAATAGAGTATGTTTTCCACATTGTATTTATTTAAAATATATTATAATATTATATTTCAGACACAATTTGAAATCTACTTACTCGTGTGCAAGTGAGTGACAGATGATGGTGCATATGAATTGACCTCTAACTGAGCTGTCGATTCGTTCCGGTTAGAGGAGTCACTGCTGTCATTAGCAGCCACACTTCTGCAAAATAACAACTTTTATAACCCTGTCCTGTGTTTCACTTAAAGTATAATAACACATCAACAATCATCAGTGATCACAATGGCCAACATAGGGCTGCACGATTAATCGAATGCGTTTGTCATGCGCATTTTGATAGCAACGCTGGTTCTGTAATCAGCAGGAAATCATCATCACGTGCTTTCAGATGGAGCAGCATTTACTACACATGGCCGTAGTTCACTGACAAGCTATGCAAAAAAAATTAAAATCGCAGACGATTTTATTGCGCGATTCTGAAATCGAAGAAATCGTTCACGATAATGACAGCTGTTTGCATAGCTTCTCAGTGAACTACGGCTCTGTGAAGTAAATGCTGCTCCATCTGAAAGCACGTGAAAATACCACATTTAATAACATATTTTTACTCCAAACTCACTTCATAACGTCAGTCGAGTGTTTGAAATAAATCTTTCTGTGAGATGATGTGGCTTCTTACACAGAATAAGGCACGTAACATATTTCATAGTATTTAAGCAGTGATAAAGGCATTGCATTATAAATATACTTTATTTTAAAGGGGTCATATGATGCTTTTTTAAAGATCATTATTTTGTGTATTTGGTGTAACAGAATATGTTGACATGCTTTAATGTTCAAAAAACACATTATTTTTCAAATACTGCACATTATTGTAGGTCCTCTATGCCCCGCCTCTCTCAAACGCTTCGTTTTCTACAAAGTCCCTCCTTCCGACAAGCACAGTCTGCTCTGATTGGTCAGCTGACCCAGTGCATTGTGATTGGCCGAACACCGCAAGCACTCGTCGGAAATGTAACGCCCCTTACCATAATCACCAGCTTCATCTTTCTGGAAACACACACACACACACACACACCGCTCGCTCTCTCTGTCTCTTGATCAAAGTCAGATTCTCCTAGGTTCACGAAACGGTCGTCCATAAAATGCATTGTTGTTCTGTTGTAAGTCATCTTAAAGATTCAAAGATTCCTCTACT